ATAGAATATGCAGTATGCCCTTGCGGCATGATCATTGGCATCATTATATGAAATATTAATTTGAATACTTAGTTCCTTGGATTTGTTCAATAATTTGTTGAATTAGCTCTTTTCTGATTAATAACGAACACATTGGTTCGAAAAAATGTGTTTGAACATGTCCCGCATCAATATTTCAATAATTGTTCGATCCCGGGATTATCCCGGGATCAAAAATCGATTCCGGGATTGAATAATCGTCGGGATTTTGCAAACTCTATTCGAGAACGATTCATGAATTCAGAGGTAATTATAATTTAACTGCTGATGCGAAAAGATCATCGAAGAATTTATTTTTGCCATGTACTGATGAGCTAGTTTATTTATTTGTAATTTTAGCACGACATACCTTTCAATCTTAATATCAATTCTTAAAGGACACTCGAAAAATTGCGAAGACGAGAAGGTAAATAGACAAGGGGTATGATAAAATTGATATTATAAATATATCATTAAATGAATAGCGTGAGAAGGCATCTTATCTATATCCAATAAATGTGGTAGGAAGAAGTTAATAAAGAAACGTGCGTCTGCTCGACAATTAGTTATGTTATTGTTTTAAAGAATCTAGCAGAATAAATTTGTCATGAACAGTGGATCGACCGATGAGATGAAGTGAATATGCGGTGTTGATTATTTGAGTGAATGAATGTTCAACGATATGGTTTGATACGATATGATGCGATTTTGTGCGATATATAATCAGTCATAAGTTTGCAGTTGTTCGAGTTCAATAGATGACCGTTGAGATATATGTGTTGAGGATTGATGAGGATGGTGGTGTGGTTCGATGATACATTTGTATAGCAGTATCAACATGAATATGAACGCAACAACACCGAAATAGGATGAATACACAATAAACTGAAATGCATGAATCTGAGCAGAATGAGAACGATGCCAGTGCAAAGCAAATATTAGTGGAAAGGGAGAGATGATAAGAAAAAGCAATAAACTGGCCTGAGTGCGAATATCGAGTGCAAATCCGTGTTTATCAGCAACGGCGATCGTGAGAAGAGTCTGCAGAACAAGAGCCAGAAACGTATTCCATCCGAATACCAATCCATAACTCGCTGAATTCAACTCACATGCTATATTCGCACTGAAAGTCGTCGTTTCATTCACGGTTTGTCGTTATCAGGGTTTACACGGGATCCCGGGATCCCGAAATTACAGTTCTGATCCCGATCCCGGGATTTAATTTTTGAAAAATCCCGAGATTTCGGGATTTGATAAAGCAGGTCAATTTGTGTGAATTTTGATAGTATGCCCATCTTCAAGCAAGCCTCAATCATTTTCATCTAATTTATATGCAGTTATCTTTGCTGTTTGCCCTCTATCATTGACGTTCAGCTAAGGAAATAGACGCAATTCGGACGAATGACATGATCAACGACAGCTCGATGAACTTTTATGTAACATTTCATTGAATATTCAACTGATTATCACGCTGTTCGTTGGTTTTTATCACGCTCATCTGGATGCATTTCTATGAAATAAACTAACAGAGATAATCACATTTTCTAATAAAAACCAAGAGCAACAAAGTTCAATGAAATTTTGAGTCGTTTCCTCCCACAAGATTTGTTCGGCTTCAATATTCCATCCATTAATTCAACTGCATGTTCTAAAGACTGCAAGTCTTTTTACTTCGCTATTTGGAAACGTTTTCATCCGATCGAAATGTACATAAATTCTCACTGAGTTCACTCATAGTGAGAATTCATTGCCGAAGTTGGCAAAGTTGTTTCATTCAAAAGGATCTTAAGCTTGAATATCAAGTACATTTGCATGATTTTTGATCGAAATTATTGAATATGTAAGTGGTCGATGGTTCGATGAAAAACCATTGCGGATATTTTTTTACCTTTTTAGATAATCTTCGAACTTTTAATTATTTCAAATGATATAATTCATGCGGTGCATTTCTTCAGAAGAAATCGAATTTTCC